AAATGGTATATATGAATTATTAAAAATTTCCCTTGGAGAATTAAAATGGTTAAATTGAGCGAAAAGACTAAATACGGGGTGAAATACTAGCACGTCATAAAAAAAATACTGCTATAAGATGGTAAAATACCATCACTACGTGAATGCGAGCTTGTATATACAGCAGTAGGCTCAATACTATATCAAACTTTTAAGTCAAAATAAATGTTTCATGGAACTGAGGGATACATATCACTACTAAATATTGAAAGAAATTATTAATTGTGATAATTTTCAAAATAAATTCGAAGGCTAAAATGAAATTACATATATTTGTAGGTCTTGCTTGTCATAGATCATTAGAAATTGCATGGTTTACAATATTGTAATATTAATATGAAATAATATTTTATGCAAGTATTGATTTTCGCATATAGCAGAGATTGATGCAAATGTGTACTAGTGTTTGGGTGCATCTTTGTAATACCCTTATTATGCATTTTTCTGATCCAACATCGTAACAATTGTAGGATATCCAGAACTGAGATAAGTGGTGAACAATATTGGAACTTTCTTGATATGAACTTTGTTTTTGAAAATATTGCTTAACCGCTCTGTATTTTGTATTTCCTAATATGCTAGAATGCAGATACCCAGCACAATACCAAGAAAGTACAGCACACTGTGAAAAAAAAATAATTGTTACTGATAACACTACCTATGCGTATTTTTGGTTAAACTTTAACTGTTATTTTATGCAAATTAGTCTATTTTCATGCAAATTAGCCAAGTTAGCCACAAAAATGATTTTAATCATTTAATTCCTTGGATGTGGAAAACCAGAATATGACTGCATAGAAATCCACTATTATGACTAACTGTTATTGGTGGTCATTCTTTTTTAAAGTGAAGTCTGTGATAAATACATGATTGTGATGGAAGTAATTTGATTAAAGGTTATTCATAGTGCTAAAAAATAAAACATTTATCCAATATTTTTTTAGTCTGTCACTCGAAATACAGAATGTTTTTTTTTTGGCATCATGGCGATATATTGACAGATGTATAATATATTTCTTGTTTTTGATTGTGAATTAAATTAAAAAAATATATATATAAAGTTATTTCTAATTTTTGTCTGAGTATGGTTGTGACAGCCATACTGAAGGAGATTTTTTCTTTCCTAAATAGTTTACATGTTAGCATGAAATGTAATAGTATCTGCCAAACACTGGTGAACTCCTTTGTATGGGTGAGTAGGTCACCTACATGGTAGGTCCACACTTGGGAGACATTCCTGGAGTTGAATGCAAGAGGTCATGTAAACCTTGCTGCACTCAATGGAAATACCACTATACCATGGGTGAGACATGGTTACATGTACTATATGAAAATTTAATTTCGAAGGCGTCACCATTAATTACATGGGTGAGACAGGGATGTCATGATGGTAATAAACTACTTACATTTATACCAAACCCTGTGTCAACTCAACTCAACTCAACTTAACTCAACTCAACTCAACTCAGCTGTGTCTATCCATCACTATTAAACAATAAGAATAATTTATGTTGAATTTATCTCACTATGCTAGATACTCAAATTGTTTTATTGAACAACGAAATGTCATTTTATTTTATGATGTTATTATATTGAAAGTTTTCTATTCTATTCTCTAATATTCTATAGGTTGTGTACTCCCTAGACTAATATTTTGTTTTTTTATTTCCTTAAAAGAACTTTTGCTTAATTTTATGAAATTTGATATTCCTCCCTATTTCTTAATGTAAACTTTTTACATTATCTCCTGTTCTCACAAAATGAAAACTCAATCAACTGTTAGGATTGAATTGTCTGCATTTATTTAACCAGCTGAAAAGCAAATGGAACAAAAATATCAAGTTTGCTTTTAGTATTTCCTGATGATGTACTGATTAAAAATTATTGATTTTATTTCCTTCTGACAGGTTCAGGCAACAGCCACATTCAGTTTATAGCTGTAATTGATACTCCTTATCTTCCGGCTACCCTGCCCACCCCTGTTAAGTGAATAGTTGTGTCCGTGTCCAATTGAAGAGACAATTGACCAATGAGATTAAAGAGGTGATCATTCAAGTATTTACAGAAGGTTCTAATAGAGCAGCAAGTAGCTATATAAACACTTTGACAGTAAGAAAGCCATGTCGCTGTACACGGAAAACCGCTCTGCCTACGGTAGGCCGCTCAACTCCAGTATAATGGCAACTATGAATGGGCTCAATCGAAGTGAATCTGTGCCGATCACCGTCATCAAACAGAAGGATATGGAGGTAGAAGTTTTAAATGAGAATGGACACCAGCGTACACAAAGTTTTCACATTGCCACACAGCCAAATGGCAAAGAATCAAATCAAACTGTATATCTGTATGCTAGTCAGTTGTACGCTAGTTTAAAACCCAAGATTAAATCAGAGAGACTATCGGACAATGATAATTGGTGTCAGGGCGCTGTACCACCTCAAATACCACCACACGAAGAAAAATACCGAAGGCTTGTCTATGACTTGGCATTTGCTACCCTAAAATGTGAGTACGGTAGATGTTTGTTTTTAACCATAATCAGTTCCCCCCTGTGTGAGTCATGTGTATAGTATCATGTTTACTAACCATCCTAGTAACCGTGTAAATTATCACTCTGTGTGATGTTAGTTGAAAAGTTCAAATATTCCCGATGACCAGCCTTGTTTAAATTTACAGTTATTTCTGCTTGTCACCTTGAATAAAGTGTCTTCTATGTGCATATTGTTGTTTGTCGACAATAGACAAAAAAACTACTAAACGATGGTCTTTGTAAGGTCTGATGGCCGCTTTGTTTGTTGTACTTTAAAGTTGTAAGGGTTCATGAAATGAGCATAAAACCCCGCCAACCAACATGTTTATAAACACCACATAACAATTTCCAAGCCAAAGTTGACAACAACTTGTCAGACCATTTTGGTTAGGAGTATTTTGAGGGACTTAAGTTGGACCTATTTTAGGATTACAGGATTCTCTGTATTTCAAAGCTGATCAGTAGGGATAAAACTTAAGTGCTCTATTTTGTAAGTTTTGCTGTCAGCCTGTACTTAGCTACAGATTTACACTGTAGAACTCTGTGGCCTGTGGGCGTTTTATGCTTCCTCTGTCTATAAAACAGTCCAGTTAGTTCAGCATGGCTTTTATTAAAGCTAACAGTTTTTTTTTACTGTTTTAACTGTTTTTTAAAAATGATAACTTGTAAAAACTTTTAAATTAAAGAGTTGGGTAATGACGTGTGAAATATAATCTCAATGTGAATGGAATTAAGTTGTGACTTCATTGATTAGTGAATAGATGATAATAAGGCGTCAAATTCCTGTTACACCCTCGTAAACACAAGTGGGCAAGTGACGCAATTGTTCATTCAGGTGGTTTCAATCTGATTGTTGTTGTTAAACTTTTGTTGTTGCACTATTGTTTAACTAGAAAACAGGAAGCACGTTCTCATCAGAAGCAGTGAAAACTTAACATTGAAAGTTTTAGTGTCAAATTTTGTCTAACTTTTCTGTTGTAACTAATTAAATTTGGATAAGTTCTCAAATTGTCTTATAGTAAATTTTGTGAATATTTCTTTAAAAAAATTCCCCATTTATTATCCATACTGAGATGGCAAGTTTCAGATTTGTGAAGTATGGAATAGTTTTTTTTTTAGTTTTTTTCAAAGTGAAACTTTACACAGTGTAGTGAGACAGGAATGTTTTAATAACCCTTAACCACCCCTAAATTTGTTCACTTTAAAAAAAAACTACATAACAATATTAACCAAGACCTGTAGCAAATGGAAAATTACGTTAATTTGGTTCAAAATAAATTATTAGATATATATATCAAAATGCTGCATTTTGACGACAAAAATAATGGTGTTTAATAGTTAAAGAGGTATGTGAAACAAAATAACCCTAATTTAAATATCAAATGAATGTTAGCCATTACGATAGGTGTTGTTGACGAAATTTATTCCACATACTCATCCTGTTTTTACCTTTTTGAATAACAGTGGGTAGCAATCGTTTATTTACCTACATGGTTATTGGTGGTGTATATATCTAAAATATACATAATTCTATGAATATAATACTCCACTTCATGGTTAAATAAAAATCTGTCAGATGGGGGAATATTCTAGTAAAATATGTTAGCATAAATTAACAAAAAGTATGATTACACATGTCATGATTGTTATTCGTAACTTATTTGCTGGAATTTGAAGAATGGTAAGAGTAATTAACGTGATGTAAATATTTTTTCCCCCAAACTGTCAATACCCACTGACCCCCATAATGTTGAATGGTCCATCCCTTAAAGATACTGCTGTAGAACACTTTGATATACATGTAGCTCCATGCTATTTAACACATTGTCAGCTGATACCATTGTATATCATTCATATTATCTATCCAAGGTGGCTTACACATTGTGTTACTAGCAATTTGGCTCAATGCATGAATTGACAGACGAACAATTATAATATACTTCTTTTTAAATTAGCTACATTTTGAATTAGTGAAAGCTAAATTAGGTAAAAATACTATACTAGTTAAAAAGACATGTTTTAGATTACATTCTCACCTCAGTAAACATTTACTATCACTTACTAAGATAAATGTATAGTCATGAGTTGGATTCTTTATCAATAGTATGTGTAACTTTTGAATGCAACCATTGATTTCCAGTAAAAATTTATTTCTGTCAATCAAATCCACTCACAGTTCAATATACTGATTCCTAAATAGCATTTTTCGTGTTGATTCTTTTTATCTGTGTGTGTGTGTAAACTAATCGAAATGTCACTTTGAATTTCAATGGGCTTGTTTGAATATTACAAAACTTGTACAAGTTTAGAAAGAACCTATATTCTTTGCTGCAAAGTTTTACACAACACATGAAACTGTCGCTATTTCAAAAGCAAAAAAAAAAAAATTGTTTGGAATTATATTTTTTTTTGTGAGGTACTTTTATTCTAAATTAAGTTGCAGCCATTTTGGTTTAACGCTCTTTTTACAAGCATACTTTCACTGAGTGAGTGAACAACCAGATTTAAGTCAAGCTTGTTACTTCACTTCATATGTACTGTGTAGTCATGACAACTAACAGACAGATATGTTTATGCCTGCCTCTCTTTTCGGAACCTCTTGAAAAATAGTCCCATATTATTTTACAGTACAGTTGTGGCAAAACTTAACTTCCAACTGAGTTGGTTTTGTCTTTTCATGAAAACTTTAATTTTTAAAGCAAGTATCATTGCCTTCAATAATTTCAACTTATTTTTATAGTATTTACCTGTGTTACTAATACGAGTCATATTTAGACAGATTACTGCTAAGTTGAGATATGTAGCAGTTTTAAGAGCATGCTAGGCTAGATTAAGTTATGCTTAGGCCGAACATTGTATAAAAAGTGAAATGAAAAAATTTTCATAATCAATTATTTACCATGGTTAATACCATAAAAACTAATTTTACATCACCATGGAAACCCCTGTCTTAAGTGTATATTACTAGTATCTACACAAATGAAAAGTATTAGAAAATAGAAATTGGAACACATCATTATGTGGATCATGGCAATGATCATTAACGAACGTCAAAGCTGAGTGCCGATAGACGCCACCCGCACGCCCAACTGAATTCTACTTTCCGACTTCATTGCTTGATGCATTGTGTAGGATGCATGTGCTTTACAATCTTTTCAATTCAGCAGTTTATCAACATTCAATGCGGTTGTCCCCCTTTAAGCCCACTGAAGAATAACAGTGGTACTTTGTTGACAAACAAACCAAACAGACGATTGACGTAAATAATCTCCATAAGAAAACAATAGGGTTTTTGATGTGTATTTCCTGTAGTCGTGTTGTCATGGTGTACCACGTCTGATTAGGGGGAAAAGAAATTGGGGAAAGATAAAATAAAAGTAATCTTTGCAACTCCTGTAAGGTGCCAGGCTGGTACTGAGTCATGGAGCTAATATAACATCACCTCAAGTCTGACATTTGAAATGAACTTGTCATGCTTTTATACCAGAAAATAGTTCCATGTCGTTATCACCATGGCAACTTGCACCTTGCTGCAGCCATATTGAAAAACGTTCATTTAAATATGTCTGTTATGATATAAGCATTTTATAATTCATTGAAAAAATTCAGAAAACAGGTTTAAAAAGTTTTTTTTCAACTTTTCTACTTTAGTTTATGTAAGTCTTTTATGTTCAATGGTTTTGCATAAACTAAATGTAAACCAGTAGACAAGTATTTTCACAAGATATAATTTTCGCTGTCCCTTAATAAAAGTACACTATAGTAATGCGTTATTGTAATCTGTTTTTTTTAAAAATAACCGGTAAGCAATAACAATGTCTATTTGATCCTACAAATAACTTCAATTGGAGAATATTCCAGAAAACTAGACAAAATTGTGCACCTAAAATGATGTTAGATAATTAAAAGTGTCGTTGAAGAGAATAGTTCTTTGTGTCTCCATGGCAACAGTAACTTGTAGCTGTCATATTGAGAAAGACAAACAGTGACCATGTTTGTTCAAATATGTCTTATAAGACACCAGCATTCTTCATACTGAGAGCCCTGTGTGTCAGAGTTTTCACTCTTACTGTCTGAATCTCAAGTGGGGGAATCTGCTGGGGACAATACTGTCACAGTTTGGGCTTACTACTGAGTTCACTCATCCTTTTCACCAGTTAAGGAGTTGAATGCTATGAATATAAAAAAACAAGTACTGCACATTGTTAACAAAAATAACTAAAGGTCACTCTGTTCGCTGAGAAGGAATTCTGTCATGATTTTTTTCTTTCCCTCTGAATATCATTGCAGGTATATAATTTAAATTTTCTGTTACAAAAATCATGTACATATTTACCATAATTTATGAAATCATGAATTGTTTATGCTAACCAGTAAAGATTATTATGTGCTTTTGCATAACAAATGATATAATTAACATGATTTATGTTGGGGAGTTGTGGTAAACAACTATTGGACATTCATAGGAATTCTACGGCCTTGTCTCTAGACATTTATTTCAAGCAAATGAGGTTGATGTTTTCACTGGCTTTATAACTGTTTTACCACTATAATTCACTCCTTGAAATTGTTGGGTAATTTTCTTTGTAAGTCTTGAAATTTATCATTATCCCATCCTATATCCGTTTGGTTAGAAATTAAATTGAATTTAAAGAAATTTTTCTGAAAACATTGGCAACTTGTCTGTCTGTGACAGGTGTAACCATAACAGGTAGTTGGTTTAAGCCCCATCGGGACTTGATTTCTTTTATCTCAAAGTGTGTCTGATGACAACGCATACACACAGGGTTATAGTCTGTCCACACATGCATGCAGGGTTAATCCAGATTATGAGAAAGCATGAAAACAAATTTTCTCATGACCTTTTTTGACAGAACTAGATCATTTACAGAATGTTGTGGTCCTCGGGAGATTGATTTTGTTAGTAATAGAAGATTTGTAAATTAAAATAAAGAATGAAAGCTATTGCTTTAGG